CATACAAAATAAGCTGAATTCAGGCATCACGTTAAGCCCTGATATGGTTTACTTGATTTTGGATTAGGAGATCCAAACCCAGACAGTTGTGGGTTATTTATTAAGTCAAAGCAAAGCAACCTGTAATGCAGAGCAATATATGAACTCAGCAGTGGTGAAATCCAATTTTTTTTACTACCGGTTCTGTGGGCGTGGCTTGGTGGGCGTGGTGTGGCTTGGTGGGAATGGCTTGGTGGGCGTGGCAGGGGAAGGATACTGCAAAATCTCAATTCCCACCCCACTCCAGGGGAAGGATATTGCAAAATCTCCATTCCCACCCCACTCTGGGGCCAGCCAGAGATGGTATTTGCCGGTTCTCTGAACTACTCAAAATTTCTGCTACTGGTTCTCCAGAACCTGTCAGAACCTGCTGGATTTTACCCCTGGAACTCAGCCATGAGATCTGATCTTTAAACTCCATATACCCAGTTAGCTCCTGCTCATGGTTGGCAGATGTCTGTTTGATTTTTCTAGGTTTCACTTACTTCCATTTCTTTCTTTCTTAACAGAAATGGAGCAATATGTAATAGAGCAGCACTAACTTCTGTCCTGGCTCCCAATAGTCATCTTCCTTATCCACTCCCTAAGAACAATCACTGGGAGGGGTAAGAAAGAAGGTGTTGACTTTAAAGAGTCATGGAAAAGGAATTGGCTGTGCTAATCTAAAGAGCCTTGGAAGGGAGAAAATGTCATAGCAAGGCTGCTTCCCCCTTCTCTTTTGGTCCCCATATTGTTTTGTGGAAGTATGGCAGGACGATCTGTTCACTAACATGTAGAAATAGCAAATGTATATTTATGCATATCTGCAACGGAGGAGGAATTATGGCTGCATGGATTTGTATTTGCTACACCTTGTTTTTAAATGCTAGAGGATTTACAGGTAACTTTTTCAAGCTTGGCACCATGAGGAGCTCTGAATTATAGCTCCCACATTCCATAGCAATTGTAGGTTGAGTTTGCAGTGGATAATGGAAATTATGGTGGATCATACGTGAGCAACATGGAATGGAGAGTGCTGGAACTTTAAGGGTGAGATATAAGGGCAAAAACTTAGCCTGAAAGATGGCACATTCTACTTTTAATTGGTTTCAGTATTTTCAAATAAGCAGCACAACAATAAAAGAATTATAGAAAGGAAAAGGAGCACTGAGAAAGTTGATTGAATTTGAAAATGTTACAATGCATCATATCGAACATTTGTTAGGCTCAATTTATAACTTTCTTGTGAACTCAGAACCCAAAGATATCAGTGACTGTATGGTTAAATGCTACAGAATTAGAACACAATTGTAGGTATACAACAGTGGGAAGTGTAATGGAAAAAGAACATTAAATTTACATTGCGTATTATATACAGGGAGAACTGGTACAAAATGTTTTACTGCTGATACATCGTTCCAGTCTTAATTGCTAAAATGAGTTATTTCTTTTCTGGAAAAGTGATGGAAATGTCATGGTCATTTTTCCTTGTGTGACGGCAACGTTGCAAAGCTCACCCATACTGGAAAATTATTTAATATAAAATGGAACAAATCCTGAAAGTTGTAATCCCATTGCATTCTGAGATAGTTTTTTTTAATTTAATTTCATTCAGCCCTATATTTCTTCAAAATATTCTGAATTGGCATTGTATATGTTAATGTGTTTTACATGCTTTTTATTAGAAAAGATGTTTGATTCCCCTCTTTGGAAGAATGGTTAGCCAAATTATGGGAATATGCTTCAATGTCTAAAATAAGTTCATATTTAAAAACTAAATCTGATGTAGAATTAAATTCTATTTGAAAACCATTTCTAACTATGATGTTGTACATAGAATTGTGCCACATTCAGAATTAAAGTTTTCAAACTTATATTTTAATTTGACATATCATCTACAGCAGGGGTGGGTTTTACTACTGGTTCGCAACAGGGCCGTGCACGCTTGCTTCGCTCGTGCGCACACGCTCTTCTGCGCATGCGCAGAAGCGTTCTGATGATGTCAGGGTCAGTGGGCGGAGCCTCCCACTGGTTTTACTACCAGTTCTATAGAACTGGTCCGAACCGGGGGCAGCCTACCACTGATCTACAGATAGTCTTTGGTTCATGACCATTCAATCAGCGACTGTTCAAAGTTATGATGGTGCTCAACAAATGGTACTTCTGATGGGTTCTCATAGGTCCAGCTATCACATTCCTGTAGTTACAACATTGCAGCAAACTCTGGTCATGTGATTGTGATTTCTAGTTTGCGCTACCATCGTCCCACAAGCAAACACAATGGAGAAGCCAGCAGGAAGTCAGTAATGATATGAGGTCCTTGTTTAACAACCCACACGGTCCTCATTTAACAATCGTAACTGGGACTGCTAGAATTGTCATTGCTAAGCAGCACACTTAACATCACACTTCACAACTTTGCTTAGTTGTTGATCCAATTGTGGATCGCATACAGTTTCTCTCTCTTTTTCTACAGTGACTTGAATAGCGTTGGCCAAATACCTTTAGTTTAAAGTTTATTGAGACATGTTTTGATTGGAAAATGGATATGAAATGGCTTATAATACCGATATTATATGCTGTAATAATGTATTAGAATGTGGTTATTTCAGATTCGTTGGCGATCCACCCATATTTCACTGCTTATATTTGATTCTTCACCTGTTCTTCATATTTTCATAAATTTGTACTTATGTTAGAATTATCTTTTACCCATAGTTTTTTTTTTTAAAAAAAAGATGTCAGAGGCAGGGCCAGGCTGTACTGGACAGACGCTTCCCAAGCAAGCCTACCTGATCTAGATGCTGTTCTTGATGTGCTTTATGGCAACAGCTGTTCTTGGCCTCAGCTGTGCCTCGAATTAGTTATGTAACTTGGGTGGTTTCCTGGCCCTGCTGTTGCCCTGGACTCCCAGTGGCTTGGCCGGGATCGGGTCTCACCGAAAAGCAGCTGCAGCCTTTGGTCCCAGCACAGAGATTGTGTAAGGCAGGGACCAGCTGTCTCACTGCCCCCAGACTTCCCATTGGGCTTGTTTGTCAGTTGAGTTGGTAGTAAAGGAGGAGGAAAGCAGCAGGAGGCTTTCTTGCTTTTTTCTCCTATTGGGGGCTGTCCTGGACTGGGAAAAAGGGGTAAGACTGCAGCTCTCAGTGGCTATGCAAAAGTTCTCTTTAGGCCTGAAATTACCAGGGCTGCCCCCATCAAGAAAACTCACCAACGTAACAATATTAAAGAATATAATACACGCAAAATGTCTATTTAAATTGAGAGCACAGTGCCAGGAAGGTTCGAGATTGGCGAATCTTTCTTTTGAGAGTATCCCTGGCTGAGGGGAAGGGAAAATTAAAAGATGGATAATGTGAAGCACAATGTCTGTGAACTCTGGATGCTGGAGGATTGGGGCAGGTAGGAGAGCGTGAGATCCATGGACACCTTTTTTCCTTTGCTTCTAGCCTCTTCCTGCTTCAAGTATAAAACCGGTTTTGGTCTGTTGGCGTTTGAAGCAGGAAACCTCTCATGCTCTTCTTGCCGGAAAAAGCATTAATATTTTCACAATACCATACTGTATCTAAAAAAACAGCAATTCCTTGTTTCCTGCATCTATGATTTCTGGGATAACTCACATGTATTCCGTGACTTATGACCAAAAGTGGATCCAGAATTTCCGTTGGTAAGCAAGATGATTGTTAAGTGAGTTGTGACCAATTTTATGGCCTTTTTTTTGCCATGGCTGTTAAGCAAATCACTGTGGTTATTAAATGAATCACAGGCAATGAATCCAGCTTCCTGGTCAGAGGCCAAACAAAGGAAGGTTACAAGTGGTAATCAGATGACCCCGGCTGCTGCAGCCATCATGAATTCATATTAGTTGTCCAGTGCCTAAATTTTGATATCATCAAAATGCTGTGGGGATGCTGTGACCATTGTAAGTGTGAGGAGGACTGGTTGAGAGTAATTTTTTTCAGTGCCATTGTACCTTTCAACGCTTGCCAAACAAATGATTGTAAGTCGAGGGTTACCTCTATGACGCTTAACATTTGGGTGATTTCAAACATTTTGTACAGTCCCATCATGCTTTGGTGTTTTTTTTTTTCTGTGTGAGACTGTTGGGAATCAATATCTCTGGAAAGGAGCCAAATTGAAAAAGATGGACAAGATGCATTCCTCCTCCCTCCCTCTACAATTATAGGCATAAGACAAGTGCCAATTAAAGCTAGTTAAAATGCTGCCTACAGTGCAGTCTTTCTCATAATAAACATTCTCCAGATGCCTTAGGCCTACAACTCCCAGAATTCCTAGGTTGGGTAAAGCTTCCACAGAATCTTCTCCTGGGTGTAGTTGCCACACAGACCACAAAGGTTGGGTGTCAATGGTTGTGTCCTTCTCCAACCTCTTGAGCGCAAGAGTTTTGAGTGACCTGTTCCAAGTAGTTGAATACTACCCTTGACGGGAATCTCAGTTTGCCAAATTTTGTTGCTGAGGGGCATGTTACCCCCAAATTAGAACGTTATGATTCCAGCGTTGATGTTGTGCCTTGGAGAATTCAGTAGGCCCCGAGAGAGCAGGTTTGGTGTTGCAGTTTTCCACCATTCACTCAGCAGTCAATGCTTCTGGGTCAAACAATAGAAGTTGCAAGTCATCTTCGGTTAGCGATTCTTTCCTAGCCTCACATCCTCCAGTTCTCCATGTTGGCTATGGGAGGTAAAGTCCAACACGTCTGGATGATATCAAGTACTCTCCAAAGAAGCAGGCTTCTTCCATGGCATTGTTTTTATTGATCAGGTTCCTCCTTCCTCAAAAGTGAGCTCTTCTGAGCACAAAATACCACTCCAGTCCCTGCCTGTCTGTGTGTGGTGATGTATGCCCTCTGCCACAGTCTGGCAGATTTTCCTTTGACAGTATCCTGCCCTCTGCTGATGACTCACCTTGCCTGGGCCAGCAGAAGCATATCCCCTTTTTATTCCTCCTTTCTCTCCCTTTGATAGTAAACATCTGCGGTCCTCCATCTAGGAATTCCTGATGGGTCTCGGAGCCAAGTGATTTCCCTTGGAGGCAAGAGAAAAGGTGAACTTCCCCAGAAGACATGGAAGTGAAAGGGCAGCTGATAAACTCATCCAGCTACAGCTCTTCAGGTAACACCTTTCCCTCCACCACCTGCTCAGCATCATTTCGGTGGCATATAGTGAATCTCAAGCCTCATCCCTTGTTCTCTGCTCTGCCTTTGCTTTCTGCAGAAGCCTTGCAGCGAGAGCTCTGTCCTCGGATTCGGCTAGAGCGGGTGCAAGAACTCCTGGAAAAGCAGAAGTCTCTCCAGCAGGTGCTCAGCCTGCGCCTGAAGGAGCTGCGACGGGTTTGCCTGCAGGAAGCGGTGCGTAACCATGACAGGAGGAGGTCAGGAAGCCAATGGGAGGGACTGAGGCGGTGGATCTGCTGCTTTGAGAAGCTAGACTTTCCCAACCTGGGGTTTATTGTGTTTCTTAGACCCTCATTCCCACCACTAGCACTGAGCACTGGCCAGCAAACAGGCTTTGTAGTCCAGGACATCTGGAAAGCACTAGGTGGGGTTAGGCGGAGGTATGCAACCAACCCTGAATTTAAAGGTTTTCTGCTCTGTGTCAAGGTTCAAACTCTTTGAGAGTTTTAGTTTTAATCAAGTAGGTTGTGAGAAAATGTCCCCAAAATGAAACAAGGAATGGGCATTTGAAAGTCTAAGCTATTGGGGGCTTGGAAGTCACTCTTATGCAGAAACATAAGAAGGGAAAAAGTTGGCTTGAGTTTCTTCAAGATGTAATAACCTAAGGAGGTGCCACCTCAGAAAGGTGTAAGGCCAGCCCATGTGGCTTTCTCCCGCTTTCTGCTCTCCAAATAACTTGGAATACAGTAGCCCACCTAGTGCTTTCCAGATATCATGGACCACAAAGCCTGTTTGGCCAGTGCTGATCCTCACTGGTGAGGTTGACTGGATGTTAAGAATGGATCAGCATGACTTAAAGCCATCAGGGTCAGGAAGGCAAATGTGTATGAGCCTTTGGTCTTCTAATGAACCCAAAATGACTTCTCAGGCCAAGCTGTTATCTGCAAAGTTGAAGAGTTTTGTATAAATGGTATGAAGTTTGTCTCCTTGGGCAAAATCTAATATCAAGTTCCAATGAGTTCCCTTGTTTCACCTCTGGATCTCATACCTATTTCATGTTGCTTGCTTCTCTTCTCAATGTCAGGAATTGACCGGGAAATTACCCCCGGAATATCCTCTGGAACCCGGAGAAAGGCTGTGGCCAGTGCGGAGGAGAACAATAGTGGCATCCCGAATTGCCCCTGCCTTGAAGAATGAGGTGAGCAATCAATCTTATGCATAAGAGAATGAGGGAGCCCAGGCATCGCTATTACATGTTGGATTTTGGAGATGGTCCTGATTCCACATCCCTATCTTTTGTTTATTTATATATAAGGTTGACTCAGCCTTCCATCCTTCTGAGGTGGGTAAAATGAGGACCCAAATTGTTGGGAGCAATAGGCTGACTGTGTAACCCGCTTAGAGAGGGCTGTAAAAGCACTATGAAGCAGTATATAAATCTAAGTGCTATTGCTATTGCTATATCAAATTTGGGGACTGACCATCTCACTCGCTCTGGGTGGTGTTCAGTTAAAACCTAAAAACATAAACTTATAAATATGTGTTACAATAATATATTATGTGTCAGCATAACATATTATATGTTAATAGTTTATATGTTAACATAATATATGTTATTGTAAAATCTTATACATATTATATGCATGCTATATATAACCATATAAATGTTATACTTTAGGAAAACCCTTCGCTGGAGGAGCTGAGCCAGGACCTGGCCCTGCAGCAGCAAGTGGCTGAGGCTGCCCGACGGCTAGCGGTTGCCCCCGACTTAACAGTTGATCAGCGCCGCCGCCGCCGGCAGGTCCAGGCAGATGCTGCTCAGCGCCTGCGGGAGCTGGAGGTGCAAGTAGCAGAATGCCGGGTGTGGCTGAGCAAAGGACCCCTCCAGAGGGCTGCCCCCGGTGAGTTATGCCGATTGCTTAGCTGATTTCTCAGCTGCTTCATTGGCCACAGAAATGCTAGGCAACATACTGGAGTGTGTAATAGACAGGGTTTAAAAACACAAGCAGAGAGGAAAAAGGAATCTGTAAGGATGATAACAAGCTACAAGAACCGAAAAAAAGGATCTGGTCAGTCTCAAAAGCAGGCTCCTATCCATCCTGCTGAAAGAAACAGTTCTTGTGGCTTTTTTTAAAGCGCAGCGGGTTTGGGGCTGAGAGGATTTGATGGGGATGCTGTTCCCCAGGGCAGAGGCAGCCCCCGAGAAGGCCTGTCTCTCAGGCCATGTAAAACGGCGTTGTTTTAATTATGGGACCTTTTAATCCCTTCTTTGGTCCTTCATTTCTAATTCTCCAAACACTCCAAATATTCTTATCCTCCCCCTAGATACTTCATTAGAAAGGCTGGCCATTATTTAGCCCAACAGGTACAGGTTGCTGCAGAGGGACTCAAATTCTCTGGGAAAAGTGGGGGAGGGGTACATGCTCCAAAGAGGAGCTTGAGGGAAGCTTCATGACAGCAGTGATGGAGCTAGAGGAATATGTGACTGTTCCCCTGCTCCATCTTGGAATTCCTTCAGATTGACACCCAACATGGGGTACTGTTCCAAAACTTTTAGGGATTGTTGTTTTTTTTTTTTTGGAAGACTTTGAAGATAAACACATTATTTTAGTGGTGAAGGTGTTGAATGGGAGTACGGAGACCTGGTATTTAGTTCCTCCTTAGGCCCAGAATCTCACCGGGTGATATTAAGCCATTCGCTCTCTTGCTGTGCAGCCTATCTCAAAGGAGTGTTGTTTAGGAAAAAATAAGAGGATGAAGTACTATGGATGCCATCTTGAACTCCTAATTGAAAAATGGGATATACATTGAGTCGATTGAAAAAAACTTAACACATTCAACAAATTGAAAGTCTTTTAAAAATCTAGTTGCCACACAGAGAACAATTTGGAAGGGCATTGAGTGTTCTGTGGAAGCATCATAGTGTGATGTTCTCTTCCTTTTTGAAAATGTAAAGATACTTGCCTAAGCAGTGATGATTCCTCGTGTTGGAAAAGGTATCATCGGCAGCACAGCAGCATAAATGATATGTGAATCATGTTGAATGAATGGCACAGGATCCACCACCGTTTAGCTGATATATTACATCAATGGGTCTCAACTTTGACAGCTTTAAGATGTGTGGACTTCACCTTCCAGAATTCCCCAGCCAGATGGAGGAGTGAAGTCCACATATCTTAAAAGTTGCCAAAGTTGAGTAGCACTATTTTATCTTCCCACTTTCTCATCCATTTCTTCTTTGTTCTCTCTTTTTTAAGAAGAGGCATTTCACTCGGAGAGCAGCTCCCTCTCTGAATCAGCCAGCCATGAAAATGGTAAGCATGGCCTAGTTGTCATTCTTGGGTCAAAGAAGAGTGCTTGATGGTCTGGGATGAGCAGATACAAACATTTCTGACAAATAAAATGGTCTGAAGAGTCAACATTTCCTAGATATTCTTGTCATCTAATTCTTGAGGGATACGGAATGATGAGACAAAGATGCCCTATATACCGTAGGTGCAGAAAATGATTCTTTACCGAACAATGGACTGATACAAAACCATATAGGCTGTTCATGTGTGTATGGGGTTATCTCATTTAATGCATGTTTTGAGAGAATATAAGGTTGGGATTTTGCCTTATAGTTATGTCTCCACCTGGAGGGGGGAATTTGGAGAGACTTACTCATGCCTTCTTAGATGGATTACTGCAATGTGTTGCATATGGGGCTATCTTTGAAGACTACCTGGATGCTATTATTAGTACAAAGTGCAGCAACCTTCCCGCTGACAGCTGAGAAGTTCTGTAATCCTATACAGTAGCATTATTGCAGGCACAGTGTTGCTAATGGCCTTCTGTCTGTAGTTCAAGGGACTGGTTTTAAATGATAAAAAGTCTGGTTTTCCGTGTTAAAACATGAAATTGTGGATGGCAGGAGACAATATTTTTGAGCCTTTTCTTGACTCCCTGGAGATCAAGAGGGTTCCGTTAAAAGAGAAGTGTGAAAACAGTTATTTCACAGAGCTTTTAATCTATAATGTTTCTGGAATTTTGGATGCAAAGGAAGGATTATTTTTTATGGTGTTAATTGTTTTATATGAATATTCTGCAGACCATTAGTATTTGGGCAGAGGTGTGAGGTCAGTGGGGTATAAATATTGCAATAAGTATTTGAAACAGAATTTGGCCGTTAATTTAACCATCATTTGGAGCCAGGATTCTTGAGTTTCATGATGGCTTATGCATAGAAGACAAGAGTCATCCAACACCATCTTCAAAGCACAGGATATGAAAGACCCTGAGTTTTTAGAAGAACAAAAATAATTTAGAAACTCATATATGTAACTTGGACACCACAGCTACTTATTGTACTTCTTGTACAGACGGTGCTGATAATTTTAATTAGCACCCTAGGAGTTTCTCCCATAATTTAGTTTTGTATATGTGTGTTCTATAGACATGTTTATATCTAAGAGCAGTTTCACCAGGTTGATAGCTGTTTGTTTAGAAAAAATCTAGAGTTTTGAGACTATTGAGTTTTTTTTTTATTGTGGGGGTGGTTCTAATTTGGTCAAGATGTGGATGTGCCGATGCTTCTATCTTATGTACTGTCTTCTGTCCTCAGACGACCCTCGCAGCTTCCATCCCTCCAAGGTCTCCAACCACCAGGGAGCTTTCCCAGACAGATCCTCACCTCCCAAGGCCCGAGATCACCTACGTGCCATCTCCAGCAGTCCTGACCGCCGACCAGGCTGGCGAATTTTGCAGCCAGATCTGTACAGTGAGGGCAAGGACCGCAGGAACTCTGTTGCCAGCCCAACCAGGTTAGCCAAAGATGCCGGGAAGGCGGGCTGGGGAAAAGGGGGGGGGGGGAAGCAACCAGGGCTGACCTGCCAGCATTGATAAAGAGTTTTGTGTGGGCTTTAAAAGCCTGATTTACATATACAACAAAATGAGCTGATGGAATTGTGGGATGTAATTATTTTTAATATTTTGTATACAAAATGATTCCTGCCCAGCTTTGCAAGTGGTGGAGAAAAGAAATAGACTAGATTCTGAGGGCCTGTGGTTTATTTTGATGGGATGAATTTTTTTTCTTTTTTTTTCTTTAACCATACAAAAGAATTTGGAAATCTGCTACATGGAAGGATCGTTAAAATAATACTGTCCTGGGAGTTTTCTGCCTTGCTTAGTTGGCTATGTAAACTTGGCTCATTGTGTCTAGATTAGGGGCGCCAAACCTTGGCCACTTTAAGCCTTGCGGACTTCAACTCCCAGAATTCCCCAGCCAGCTGGCTACGGAATTCTGGGAGTTGAAGTCCTCAAGGCTTAAATTGGCCAAGGTTGGATGCCCCTAGTCAAAATTTCACTTATGGTTAGGAACTAGTGTGGAAATGGGTAACTACAGACAATAAGGGAAGGAGTAGAAAATCCCATTCCGCTGATACCTCTCCATCTCTCCCTAGAGCTTGTTTTGTGAAGATAAATGGGATCGAACCCTTCCTTCCCAGGAAAAAAACAAAGAGGGGGAAAAAGGCAGCTTAGAAGGGGCAGCTTTTAAGCTGCTTCTGCCAACCAAGCTGAGCTGCTTGCCTTTGTGTGACTCAACCTCTTGAAGCACATTTTTTTGGAAACTGGAAATCATCCTCTTGGTTTAAGTTTTTGTCCATGTGATGTGTGAGCATGCAACGTGGCTCTTGAAACACGAAGAGCTGAACCCACTCATTTAAAAAAGGATCCTTGTCTGTTTATACAGCCCCAACCGCACCCTCCCCAGAAGTATGTCCAGCTTTGAGGGCCGGAGCGTCCCAGCTACTCCAGTGTTAGCAAGAAATGCATGCAGTGGAACTCACCAATTAAGGTAGCATAAACCCCCGTTCTTCTTTCCTTTTCTCCTGATTTGTAGGGTTGCTCGTAGACGGCAGGCGCACTGGCAGTGTTTGTTTTACTATTTTTTCTATGCAGTAACTAGCAATTTGAAGCACAGTAAATTGTTGCTATACTTTGTGTCAAACTGCACTTAACTGAGGCTTTAAATTCAGGGGTGGGTTGGACGAGGAATCCAAAGGGATATTTGAGGGAATTGGCTGCGGGTAGCAAGAAAAGGACAAGATCAGTTTTCAAAGATCCTGCAAACTAATCATGAAGACAGCAGTGCCTCTACTGTTTTAGTCCCGTTTTAGTTTAGTCTAGTCTAGTGCCTCTACTGTTTTAGTTTAGTCTCATCCAGAATCTTGCAAACTTTTGTTATCTTTGTAATTTTTTTAAGGCGCATACATGGGAGGAACACTTCCGTATTACTCCCCCAAAGTGGAATGTTTCTGCTTGAACTTCCCACTCTGGGCATGCCTCAGATTTGGAAGGAGAAGACTTGATATAGCTTTAGTAGTAATACTGTGATAGTAATTCATGCAAAGAATTGAGAGCCTACCATCCTCTTCTTCAGAGGGTGAGGAAGCTTGAATTTCCCCCATCATGTTGGATACAGACTAACAACAGAGTTATCTAACCCAGTCCACCCTCTGATCAAAACAAGTGGACTGAAAAGGAAACAAAGCTAATTTGCACGCTGAGATGCAACAGGCAAAACAACTTCTCTATAGATGGATATTTAGAATATGCAAGAGATTCTTACTGCCCCCCCTCAATTATGCATATAATTGCAATTCTTATTTCACAGCTATCCAGCATAAAATTAAAAGCAATCATTTCACCTCTTACTTCCTCTTAGGTCAGAGGCCCCATCTCTCCACTCCCGCCAGTGGTCAGGCAGCCACGATTCCCAGCTTGGCCCCCCTAGCCGGGACACCAGTGCCGACAGAGCTTCCCTCTTTGCAGCTCGGACCCGTCGAAGCAACAGCTCCGAGGCCTTGATTGAACGGGCCCCTTCAGAAGACCCCCTACTGCCCACTGCCCCTCCGTTTAAGAGTGCTGAGGCCCTGACCCCTTGCATCTCTGGCCGGACCCCTCGCCCACCTTACAACGATCTCCTGTTGGACTATTACCTAGAACGCCGGAGCTGTGGGGGTGGTGAGCATTTGTCTCGCAGGGATGGGCCTCCCCAGCTAGAGTGGGGAGCCTTTTCTGAAAGCCCGCTTCAACGCCGAGCCCGACCCGCTGCCCGCACTAAATCCTGCGGGCCGCTGCTGCCCCCACAGTCCCGCGAGGTTGGTTATGGACCCCCCTTACCTCCTCATCGCAACTTCCACAAAGCGCTTGCTCTGGAAGGGCTCCGGGACTGGTACTTACGCAACGCTGGAGTTACCCAACGAGGGGCACCCGAGAGACGAGGCCCATCTCAGTCTGTCCATCAACACCTGCGTGGCTACTGTGATCCGGGACCCTCCAACCCCGATGTGGGATATTATGGGGGGCCAGGAGGTGGACTGCCTCACTCTGTGAGCTATGCGGGGCAGCCACTCTATGGCAGGTATGCAACCCGGTTTCTTCCTTTGCCCTGACAAGCTCAGCGGGGCCCTTCCCCCTCCCCTCGATTGCCTAAGGCCAACCCTGTGCCTCTTCTCTCTGCTCACCCCCTCTTTCTTTGGCTTCACTCCCCCTTTTTCAAAACAACTGGTGCTTCTCTGGCATTCTGAACTGTTTGAAAGACCCGGGTGAGGAAGAGAAGGAAAAGGAAGGAGACAGGTATCCTTATAAAGCAGCTTTCCCTAACTCACCACCCCTTTGCTGGCTGGGGACAATGGGAGTTAACATTTAAAGCAGGGGTCTCCAACCTTGGCAACTTTAAGCCTGGCGGACTTCAACTCCCAGAATTCCCCAGCCAGCAAAGCTGGGAATTCTGGGAGTTGAAGTCCGCCAGGCTTAAAGTTGCCAAGGTTGGAGACCCCTGCTTTAAAGCCTCCAGAAGGCAGGCAGTTGCAAGGTTGATTCTTTGTCAAGGCTGGAAAAGACCCATTTCATGAAGCGAAGGAGACGGGGGTTGTGATTACTGTAGGGTAAACTGGACCCAAAACAGGAGACAAAGTAGAAGTGGAGATGAAACACTTTCACTTGTTGCATGATTCCTTTCTGCCCCTTTGTCTAATTCTTTCTTTCTTTCTCTCTCTCTCTCTCTCTCTCTCCTTTCTTCCTCTGCTTTACTACTCTGCTCAGACCTTTTGCGGACCTGCTTTATCTGGAAGATTCTTCTGGCCCTTACAGCTTGGATTCCACAGAGCATCCAACCCCAGGGACATTGGTTTGATTCCCCCCTCCCTTCCCCCTTTTCCCCAAGGGGATCTCTAATCTGGAGTGCTGATTCTTTTTGTTTTCCTGTTTTTCCTGCGCTGGTGCCTCTCTTTTTTGCGTCTGATGCACCATTGTGGGGATGGGGGGGCTCCCTGCTGGCAGGGTAGGTCTCCATATGTGAGGGTGGGTTGTTGCATGTCACACTGGACACAGGATGGGGGGGAGGGAGGAGTGTGTCCATAGTTCTTCCTACAATTGTTAACCTCCCCCATTTCAGACTTTGTGGGGTGGGCGGGGTATCTGTGTTTACTGTACTACTTCTCCATAAAAGGGTTTTTCTGCTGTGGGTGGCGCCCTCTTGTGTTCACTGGAAAACAGTGCACTGTTACTGCCATGGTGCTCCGTGTTGGGCTGTAGCATTTATAAACCCTGGACCCTGGAATGTATAAATGGAGAGGTTTGTGCAATGTGTGTTTCTTGTGAAATGTTATATAGCACAGACCTGTCATCTTGCTAATGAACATCAGTCCTGTAAAAAGTAGAGAGAAAAAAAAGAGAGATCTATACCACTCCTGTTGCCCCCACTGTGAAAAACTTAGTTTACCCTTCAATGTATTGTCCCTTCCTACTCGTATCTCGCTCTTGCAAAGCCCTGAGTGAGGATAAAATGCGTAGGGGTTTGGGAAATGTTTGCAGGATCCCTTGGATGAACCTATTTCATGGCCCTGACCTTTCTCCTAGCAGGGGAACTCCACCATAGTGCTGGATATAGGAATGCAGTGATTGGCTCCACCCATTCAGTTCAGTTATTACCTCTCACAGGGGGAGGGGGCAGGAAATCCCACCTGAAAGCATAACACAGTCTGATCCATTGGGTGGGCTATGGGAAAGGCCGGTTGGTTCCACATGGCCTTTCCCAAAACTGCTGTGGGCGTACGTGCATGTATCAAAACCCTTCTCACTGGGAATAGGTTGCACCAACTGTAACGGGCAATGCAACCCTTCATTTTTCAGAAAAATACGGCTGCGCACATCCTTTTCTGCCCGCTAAGCTGGACTGGTTATTTTCTCCTGTATCCTTCATTTGACGTGCTTCCTGCCTTCTCCCCCAATTATTTCAAAACTGGAAGGAACATCTTGCCTTTTCTCCTTTCGCTGTAATAATAACCATTATCATCCTCATAATAATTGTAAAATGTGTGATGGTTTTCCCCTGCTCTCAACAATTGCACATAAAAGGAAAAGTCACTTTGTTTAAACTCTGTGCCAATGGAATCCAGGTCATTCTGGAGCAGAGGGAAGGAGGGAGGTTGAGAGAACCCAAGGGAGGCTCCAGTTTTCTCCCCCTCCCGTTCCTGGCTGAAGGAACAAGGGCCATATTGGAGTCACTGTCTTGTGTGTCCTTTTAATATACACTGATGTATAGATTATATATGGGGATCTAAATGTAAAACTGAGCACTGTGCATAAGGGAGAGAAGGTTTCTATAATAAAGATTGTAAACGAGGCCGTGATGTGTGAAAGCTTCGTGTCGCCATCAGGATCATGGTGTAAACAGCATGGGATAGTGACTAGACAGCATCTGATCTGTGAGCTTAGAATTTCACTTAGTAACTGTGGAACACTTTGTGGCTATTTCAGTGTGACTTGCCTTGAGGAATTGATATGAAAATAAAGCAGACAGAAATGTGCCACAAATGCCTCAAAGTTTTCCTCACTGAGGAAAAATGGCTAAAAGAATCTATGCCCATTTAATTTGGTTAGGATCATCAAGGGGTAACTGACAAGGAGGAACCCACTTCGATTATAATAGAAGAATTCAGTAATGAACATATCCGAAAGAAGAAGGTGTTTTTAAAAGTTTCCAGCTCACAGAGAATTGGATGGACAGCAGTTGTGTAATCCTCTTAGCTAAATGTCAGGCCTTTACAAATCCTTTGCCCTGTAGTTGAGAACATGCAGGACTGTGTATGAAGTACCTTTTTTGAATCATTAAAGCTGCCTACATCTTGTGCAGCTGCTTTGAAAGCTGCTTCCAACTGTCTGTTTCAGGAAAAGCGCTGTACTTGCAAAAGTGATTGTAGAGCAAAAAGACAAGAAACATGAGGCTACATGTGAAACGCTATCATGAAAATCACAAGACTTTATTTCCCATATGCAGAGAATTTAAACTGGTACACTTAAATTGTACAATACTATTTGTTTGGTTTCTGAGAAAAATGTAACTCCGTGCTGTTCCCTTGTCTCTCTCATGTTCACCTGGATCTGAATGTTCACTGTACACATTGGGGCAATGATTCAAAAAAAGACCTGTGTACATTTCTGAAAAACCCTTTAATCAAATTTAAGGATTTCCTCATGAGGAGCAATCTTCGAAGTTGACTCTTCTGCAGTAAAACTGCATTTACATACAGACCACAACACCAAGAAAAGCTAAAGTAACACTTTAAACCTTAATCTAAACTATCGTGATTACAAACAATTGAAAACCTTTCTCCAATTCTATTGCTAGTTGGAAAAATGTCCTAGTGATTTTGGCACATATAAAAGTATAAAAACAGCAGTTCACCTCTCGAATCAACAAGTTTAAAGCCCTAGAGACATTTGGTGAAACCAGCATTCCCCATCCTTCAATAGACTCTTCGATGGAGGGATACTCTTCACCACCAGATTCCCTGATTTCTTCCTGGCAAACCTCTCAGACCACTTCCGAGAGCTGAGCAAATGGAGAGAAAGCCACTTTCCATTATCAGATGTTTCCCTTTTAAGCCTGGATCTCTTTCAGTAACCCAGGAAGAAATCCCAAAATGAAAAGCACCGATCTTTTCAAACTGCAGCTGTACACATTTTAGTTCCTTCAACTTCCAATTAGGGGGTTGGGTTTGTACCTTCATGTTCTACGTGTGAGGAATGCAGCCTCTAAAGCAGGGGTGTCAAACGCACGTCACGGCGTCACGTGACATATTGAGACTTTTCTCCCCTTTGCTAAATCGGGCATGGGCGTGGCCAGCATGTGACGCATCCAGCCTGTGGGCCGGAGTTTGACAGCCCTGCTCTAAAGAATGAGGGAACATTCATAAGCTACCATTGTGATTATGTATCAATACTTGTTACACAATTCTACTGGATTGTGAGTGATAAGAGCATCTTTCAGAAAAAAACACAAACTGCAATTTCCCACTTAGAATAAAGCATCTGTTCATTTCTTTCCCCTCCTCCATAATCATCCAGTATATTATGCAGACCTACAAACGGTGGCATACATGCTTTGCATCCTCTAGTAAGGTTGCAAGAGGCTTGCTTCAGATCTTAATTGATTCATCCAGGCATGATTTAAGAGGGGAAAAAAAGCCCTTTTAAATGATACCTCACGACAGCTTGGTAGAAAATGGTGCCATATAGTTTCTTATCTACTGCAAAACTATGTAGGCAGGAAGACCAGTATAGATACTTATGTCTTAAACAGAACATCTGTAACTTAATGGCTATATCAATAATTGCAAATCATATACCAGGAAGTCCTCTGCTAGGATAACCAATGTGATGCCTCCAGTTGGGTTTGATTATACTCCATACTGCCTAAATAATGACCGTGTCATGAGAATTCCAATTCCAGCTGCCCCAGTTTGAGCAAAGTAATGTCTACCTGATTTAACGACTCTTAAATTTCCCTCCATATTAAAGTGGGAACCGAAAGGCTGAGCAAAGTCTGCAACTCACTTCAAGAGAAGTATCCACTGGCTTCACCCACTAGTCAACTGCATTTTTATCACAATGAGTTGTATGAATACGGCTGAAGTGGTTAGTTTATGGTACAAAGGTGTTCTGAAAATGCAGAAAGACTTTTTGCTGTACGCTTGTATAGTCAGTTTATGATCCATACCTTACAGATTTTGAAGTGTGCTTTCCCTTCAGCCTCACCCAAGCGACTTGGGAATTGTTCTAAATACATGAAAAGACAGTAGCCTAATGAGATTTGATAGCTGAAGTGAGCTATTTAAGGACCCTGGCTTGGGAAAAGTAAAACACACAACTAGCTAGCAGATGTCATGAGACACAAAAATTACATCTGGCATGTTACACATTCTACCAAGTACAAAGGCAATTGAAACTGCCCACATGCAGTTCCAGATGCAACTCCCCAAATATCCAGCCAGCCCCGCTGATTACTTAAGGCTGAAAAGACTTGAAGGAAACAGCCCAAGTAGTCAAAGTTCTATCAGAAGTAGAGTTAATGATTGTTATATCCTGCTATTAGCAAACAAGGACTATGCCTTTCCTTCTAGAGGCCCAAAAACCCCCCAGGAAGAAGCACCCCTTTCTTACTAAATGATCATAAAAGCTTAGATGGAAAGTCCTTTTTAAGCAAAATTATGTGTTTAATTATTGCTTCTTCTCATCATTTTCAAAACAGCATGATCAAAAGAATATGATCAGTATTGGAACACCTCATTTGTCTGTATTGTATGCTACTTAGAACTGCAGAATTCCAGGTTTGGTCTATTCTCTTAAGTTTTGTACAAGAACCATCTGAATTCCACATGATTTGAATAGAGAGGATTGTTGTAAGTTAAAATGTTTTGCATTCGCACATAATGCAAAGCCAGATTGTCAGCTTATGATTTGTGATTATGCTTAACGCATCCTATCCTATTATACTGTGCATATTAATCTAATCTAAAAGTAAACAAATTGAATTGCACTTTATTGCCATTCGTGAGCCAGGACAACAGTTTTGAAGTTTCCTAATTTGGTCTTGGAAAGAGACAAAAGTTCTTTTGCTTGTTAAATATACTCAAAAGTGGGGGCAGCTCCACACTTTTGAAGTGGAATGTATAGTCTGCGATATCTTATTAAAGTTACCAAATATAAACAATCTCCAGATGCTAACAAAGGGATTAAAATAAACGTAGTTCCTTTTGATGCCATTTTGTGTGTGGGGGGGGGGTTTGCTTATCATCATAATCTCCTTTACCAGCACTTGGGAGTTAGCCTTCTCTTTTGCTCAAAAGCATTCATAAAAGAATCCTCTTAAGATTTGTAAATGATTGGCCTCCATCATTGATTCAAAAGTTTAGCTAAATCTTCTCCAAATTGGCTTGCTCCATTCTACTCATCCAAGTTGCTTTATTTGCTGCCTCCATCTGAACACCAAGAGCCCAAAACCTCTTCAGAAGAGGGGTGCAGTCCAAGAGTAAGCAAGATAAATACCCATCCAAACTCCCCCCCACATTTCAATCTCAGCTTTGCTATGAACATATGGGGGTGGGGGTGGGCTGAAGCATTCTGCTCTACAAAATCTTAGCCCACTATGTGCAATATAGGCAGGAGTGGTATTCACTTATCTTCGCTACCAGTTCACAAATGTGAGCGCATGCACAGAGCGTCAAAAATGGGACGCGATGACGTCCGGGCGGGTGGGCGGAGCCTCTTGCAGCCATTGCTACCGGTTCTCCTGAGCCGGATATAACCGGCTGAATACCACCACTGAATATAGGGGTAAATGATACTGGCCTAAGTAATGGGGTTGCTACACAAAGTAGTCCTAATACTGTTTCTGAAGCCCTTAGAGCAGTGCCATTATGCAAATAATAATACATTGAAAGCCCGCCAATAATAATCCAGCCATCTCCTGCAATTCAGGAAATTCCCAGCTAACTGGAGTATTTGGAAACTGTCATTGTCTCGACATATCTGGACCATACCTTGTGGGAGAAAACTGAGTTAGAACAACAATGATTTCATTTGGTTCTGATCTCAATTTTTGTCCTTCTCTCAAACAACAACTATGTATTCTAAACTAACAATTTACTAGGGAGGTTTATTTTTTTTTTAAATTATAGTTTTCTTTCTTTGTGATTCCTTCCTTTCCAAAGCAAAACAATATGGATTCCAATGGGGAATACTTAACATTAAACTGGAATGTTAGGCTGATTTCAGTCCATTTCCACTCTTGGCTGTTACCCAGCTGCAGGTCAGGAGTTCTGCTGAGTTTGATGTAAGCTAGAGGCTACTGTATCTTCCACAGGAACTGGCAGCCAGTTTGCTAGATTCAGGCAAGCAGAACAATAAGCACACAGGTGTCTGTTGGAAGGAAAGAGAGCAGTTCCAGAGGAAAGGGAAACCAACACCGATGGTCTAGGATCCAGCCTCTTGTTCTTGGCCCACAGCTTCCAGGAGCAGCCCCATCGGTGTGCGCTTGAGTCCAATGTTCTCGATTTTGTTCTCGATTTTGTTTTTAAGGCTCCGCAGACGCAGGGAGGCATGGATGAGGCTCACTGCAAGGGAACAGGGGTGCTCATTGGTAACACAGGAATAAGCAGAACCAACCTCCTCCCACTTCGCACCAGAACCTCACGCTCCCTACTCCCCTGGGGGCAACAGAGCTAGCCTCTCGAATGGAAAGTCAGTCTGCATGACTAGAGAAGATGCCGGATTGGGAATCCCTGGCCCTTCGCATCAGTTTCAGTTTTATAAAAGGGAGCTAGGGAGGAAGAGAAGCCAACCAGAGCCTGCAAACCCAAACAAGCCTGCACGCCAAGCTGTCAGCTTTCAGTTCCCTGTTTATGAAACAAAACAAAACAAAACAAAACAAAACCCTTCTCTTTGTTTTCCTGCTCAGAGCATGGCATATAATAAGGGGGATTAAAAGCAGTGACACCTGAAGTGCCACAGTTTCTTCACTCCGGTAGATCATGCAAGCCTGAACAAAAATCTCTTCCCCATCTTCTCTCTACACGAAGCCGGGTGCAGCATATGGGTTGCAGCATAAGATGGGGAAACCAGAGCTGCTCCTGGCTGCAGGAGTGTTTGGCAGCAGCTGCTTCTGTGTTTTCATATTGATCCTTACCGCAGGAAAAGAGAAACCTGTTCTCTCCTGCTAAATGAAATCCAATTCTCTTTCTTTTGCAGGTCTCAACAAAATCCACCCTTGAAAAATTCTGTCCGCGCCACAGTCTGAGAATAAAACCTGCATTCCGCACAGATTGGGAAGAGACACAACAGACGCAAGGAACAGCAGGCATACTGGCTGTACCGATGGTGCACAGCCTTCCCACATACAGTAGACCCCCCCAGCTGGGAACTCACACATTATGGGCAGAGCGATGAAAATCAAGAAGGTGGCAGAGCCTTCGAAAAGGGACACCAGGAAATATGCAGCGCCAAGGATGGCAAAGAAACACGTGCCGGGATAATTCCGCCGGAAGCGTCGCACGGGGGGCTTGTTCTCGGCTGCCCAGACAAAACCTCCAAACAGCAGACATATGAGTAGGCAGCTTAGCAGAATCAGCATGGGTTGGAAGTACCTGCAGAATGAGACCCCCCCCCAAAGTCAGCCTTCACTTCAGCCCATATGGGAGTACCATATGCAATCCTGATGAGCATTCAATCCAGTGGGTGGCCCACTCACTCTGAGGCCCTTCTATAGTTGCTGAGGGTTTGAGGTCTCCTAAACGCCTGGAGTGAGGGGAGATGGGTGAGGAACATGGTTAGGGCCTGGATATCTCTGAGCTGAGGATCCCTCTAGTGCAGGGGTGCCAAACTAGATTACATTGAGGGCCGCATCAGGGTTGTGTTTGATCTCGGAAGGCCGGGGGTGGGCGTGGTTGGGGTAGGCGTGGCCATGATGGGTGTGACATGGGACTCGTGGGGGGGGGGCACCTGTGGTGGCCAAGTGCTAAGGCAGGACTTCCCTCAGACTCTCTCTCACTCTCATTATACTCTCCTTCCTTCCTTCCTTCCTTCCTTCCTTCCTTTCCTTTTTCCTTCCCTCTTCATTCTAATTTCTTCTTCCTTCCCCTCTTTCCTTATCTGAAAAAATGACTTATGACCGTTTTTCATACTAACGACTGTTGCAGCATCCCCGTGGTCACATGATCAAAATTTGGATGCTTGGCAACCAGCGTGTATTTATGACGGTTGCAGTGTCCCGGGGTCACATGATCCCCTTTTGCAATCTTCTGACAAGGGAAGTCAATGGGGAAGTCAGATTCACTTAACAACCATATTACTAACTTAATGACTGAAGTGATTCACTTAACAACTGTGGCAAGAAAGGTTGTAAAATGGAGCAAAACTCACTTAACGTCTTTCTTAGCAACGGAAAATTTGGGCTCAATGGTGGCCGTAAGTCGAGGACTATCTGTAGTCCTCGCCTTATGACTATTCACTCAGTGACCATTTGAAGTTGCAATTGCTCTGAACAAAGGGACCTACAAAGGGTGGTTTAAGTTACAGTTGTTGCTGAGCCCCTGTAGTCACATGAACAAAATTTGGGCGCGGGGCAGCCTGTCCATACTTATGATTGCAGGGCAGGGGTGAAATGCTCCCGGTTTAGACTGGTTCTCCCGAACCGGTAGCGATGACGGCGGGTGGTTCGGAGAACCAGTAGCGATGGCGGCACGAGGCTCCGCCCACCTGCCCAGTTCTCATTACTTCTTGGTTTTAACCAGGAAGTAACCTGTTTTTTACCCTCTGCGCATGTGCAGAAGGGTTTGCGCATGCACAGACGGTCCGCGCGCGCACGTGATACGCACTTCCAAACTGGTTGGGAAGGTAAGTAGATTTCACCCCTGTTGCAGGGCCATTTCAACTTATCCCCACCTGCCTGTCTCCCCCTCATCCGTGCCCTTTTGTCACCCGGCTGCCCTGTGCTTTGCTTCTCCAGCTGGCCTTCATTGTCTTCTTGCTGCTGCTACTGCTAACAAGGTGCCCCAGCCTGGCCCTTTGCAAGGCAACTGCTGGTCATGTGAGGTTTTCTTCCCCGGGTCATAGACAGCAGTTTCCTGGAGAAGATGGCTTTGGGCAGCCGACAGCTGCTTCACAAAGAGCCAGGCTGGGCATGCCTCAGCAGCGGGAGCAAGAAGACAACGAAGATCAGCTGAGATGGTTGAGCACAAGATGGCAGGGGCCTTGGAGGGCAGAGTGGTGAAGATGGGTCAGCTGTAGCTTTGCGCTGTGCTTTTGGGTCAAGGCAGGAGTGGGCTTCATGCTGCAGTGCAGTTCAAGAACTACAATACACCCGGAATTCCCCTAGCACCACACGGTGAATTGGGGTTGGGCTTCACACTGCTTTTTGCAATCCCCAAACCACAGCACAGCACAAAAGCTCAGCTGCAGCCCAGACCAAGAGCAACACATAAAGGGGTTCCTTGGTGCATCCTGACTCTAGGGCCACAAAAAGCAATGCAAAGCCTAGCCCCAGGCCAGCCCAGGAATGGAGCACAAAAGGAGTACACCACACACTGCAGCTCTGGGGCTGCAAAAAGCTCAGGTTGGCCCTACAGCCAGGCCAGGCACACCTCGCCAGCAGCAAGATGGTGATGGTGAAGGTAACCTGGGACAGCAGAGCGCGAGGTGGGGACGACAACTGCAGCTGGGACTGGAGCACTTGGGGCTTCTTGGGGGTGCGGCAAGAAGCCCCACAGCCCCACAGTTCAGGGGCTGTTTGCCACCCTGTAAGGCAGGATGCAAGGGGGACAAAAGAGATGGGGAGATAGGAAGATGGGGGGAGGATTTAGAAGCCTTTGTCAAAGGCTTGGAGGGACGAAGGCCAGAATGGCTCGGCTCGGCACCTTATGATTGGTGGACTTCACTTAATAACAGCGATGGGAGGTGCTGGGACTGGCATCACTAAGCACACAATCCCATGATGATGTGCTTTACGTCCACCTCGCTTAGCGACAGAAACTATGGCCCTACATTGAGACCTGCCTACACCTCAATCCCTACCACGCAAGCTCTTCGTCCCCCACCACTACTTGAAGTAGACCATTGTTATTTCAAGCGGCTTAGGGACATATTTTGATATTTATTTATTTATTTATTTATTTATTTATTTATTTATTTATTTATTTATTTATTTATTTATTTATTTATTTATTTATTTATTTTTCGAACTTCTATACCGCCCTTCTCCTTTCGGACTCAGGGCGGTGAACAGCCAAGATAAAAAACATTTATACATAAAGTTAAAAATAGATTTAAAATAATTAAATAAATTTGGCCCGTAATTTAAAACTTATCAATTTAAAAATCCGTATCAAATTTTAAAACCAACCATAAAATCAGGACAGATTTTCTTCACGTTAAGAAAAGTCTAGAAGGTTAGAGCTCGTTCCCTGCTTGGGTTTTTTTTTTTTTAACTGAATAAAGGAGGGGGAGAAATCTCCATGTAGCTTCAAAGCTGTTCTCGCTGTGAAAGTCTCAGACTTTTGATTCCCATCCCAGAGTCATGTGTCACCCAGTCCAGGGCAGGCCTTGCAGTCTTCTGACCGTAACAGGACCTTGAAGTCATGGTGACAGTTTTGATAAAAACCTCAGGGTTGCTGTTTGCCTGGAGCTTCTGCATGGAACTCAGAGAACGCAGAGCCTTGGTAGCACAGTGGTCTAAGGCATCCTGTTATTAAGCTGGTTATTAAGACCAGATGCCTGCAATTACTGCAGGTTCGAATCTCGCCAAGGCTCAAGGCTGACTCAGCCTTCCATCCTTTCTAAGATAGGTGAAATGAGGACCCAGATTGTGGGGGCAATAAGGTGACTTTGTATAAATATACAAAAGTATGAAGGCTATTGCTTAACGCATTGTAAGCCGCCCTGAGTCTCCGGAGAAGGGCGGCATATAAATCAAATTTAAAAAAAACAACAACTCAGCACTGGGTACTGTGGAAACTGGCCACTCTTGGCACACCTCTGCTATTAAGGAGCTCCTAGGAGCTTATGAGAGATTTTAATATTATCCTGCTTGGTATGTATGCTTGTTATGTTATGTTTTTTAATCTGTTTGCTTTAGCTAATAATAAAGTTTAAAATCCCTTTATTTACTGGGGTTCATTGTCTCTGGTTCCAAAAGAACCAATTGCCTAGGCACCTGATCACTTGGCAAAGCAATCGTCCACTAGAGAGCAAAAATACCATAAAATGGCTCCAATCCACCGATGATGATCCAGAAGATCTCAAAGTCCACTGAGAAAAGGGCCATGACAGATACACCAGCCCCTGTATAAGGGACAGTGACTAAAGCTGTTTCTGTCACATGCATTCATTCAACAAGCAGGGCTAGCATAAACATCTAAATTCTATGCCAAGGTCTTAGCAGATACACTAAGTTGACTCAATTTATTATTTACTGTTTATAAAAAAAAATTATTATATGTATATGAAATCTTATTCTGTTCACCGCCCTGAGTCCTTTGGGAGAAGGGCGGTATAGAAATTCAATTAATAATAATAATAATAATAATAATAATAATAATAATAATAATAATAATAATAATGCCAGAGCCTAAACTTTGACTTATAAGAATCCACACAATTCCATTTTTGAAGAGCTATGAAAACACAGTTTTTCAGAACGGCATTTGTAGACGCTTGAAGATTCTGCTGCCTGGGGACACGTGAGGGTTATCTTGCTGTTACAGTTACACTATAGACTTTCTCGCATTGTAGTTTTAAATTTGAGTACCAAAACTTAGGACAAAGCTCCAATTTGCCGTCTTGCAGATGTGTTATGATTACAACTTCGGTTTTCCATTTCTTGGCCATGACGGTTCTATCACCGGCAGTTGCCCCATCCCAGGATCACTAAAGACACAGAAACCTCTTTTGCATTGGCCCATCAAATTGCTCTTCAAAATTACAGGAGCAATTTTTTTTTTAAAGCGGCAATTTTTCCACTTACATCACTTTTTCCCTTCCCAGGATTGAAACGGAGATTGTTCTTAGCTTCCATATCCCACCTTCAGAAGATGAAATGTCTTCTCCTGAGGAGCTCGGATTTCAATACAGGTAGTCCTCGGCTTACGACCACAATTGACCCTCAAATTTCAGTTGCTAAGCGAAACAGTCGTTAAGTGAATCCCTGCAGGTGTTAAATTAATTTTTTTTTAATTTGATGTAATTTGATTTATATGCCGCCCTTCTCCGGAGACTCAGGGCGGCTTACAGTGCGTTAAGCAATAGCCTTCACACTTTTGTATATTTTATACAAAGTCAGCTTATTGCCCCCACAAACTGGGTCCTCAATTTACCTACCTTAGAAAGGATGGATGGTTGAGTCAACCTTGAGCCTGGCAAGATTCGAACTTACTTTAATTGCAGACAGCTGGTGTTAAGTTACAGTGCCTTGTCTGCAGAGCTATCCAGGCTCTCTCTCTCTCTCTCTCTCTCTCTCTCTCTCTCTCTCTCTTCTCTCTCTCTCTCTCTCTCTCTCTCTGTCTATCTATCTACTATCTATCTATCTATCTATCTATCTATATCTATCTATCTATCTATCTATCTATCTATCTATCTATAATAACACTGTTGTTAAGTGAATCTAGCTTCCCCATTGACTTTGCTGATAAGGTGGTCATAAATGTTGATCACATGCTCCCAGGATACTGCAACGGTCATAAATATGAGTCAGGTGCCAAGCATCCAAATTTTAACTATGGGACCATGGGGATGTTGAAATTGTCGTAAGTCTGAAAAATGGTCCTAAGTCACTTTCTTCAGTGCCACTGTAACTATGAACGGTCACTAAATGAAGCGTTGTAAGTCGAGGACTACTTATAATAGTAAGGGGGGGGGAAAACACCCTTCCCCATCTTGGTTCTGCCTTCCGCCTCCACTAACCAAGCCTGCCTATTTGTTCGTTATCCGAGTCTCCCCTGCAGGATCCTCGCCCCTCGTGGGACTTCGCACGACGGGACTCTCCTCCCGGCCCTGCTCCGCCCGCCGCCGTGGCACTCACTCTATCTATCTATCTATCTATCTATCTATCTATCTATCTATCTATCTATCTATCTATCTATCTATCTATCTATAATAACACTGTTGTTAAGTGAATCTAGCTTCCCCATTGACTTTGCTGATAAGGTGGTCATAAATGTTGATCACATGCTCCCAGGATACTGCAACGGTCATAAATATGAGTCAGGTGCCAAGCATCCAAATTTTAACTATGGGACCATGGGGATGTTGAAATTGTCGTAAGTCTGAAAAATGGTCCTAAGTCACTTTCTTCAGTGCCACTGTAACTATGAACGGTCACTAAATGAAGTGTTGTAAGTCGAGGACTACTTGTAATAGTAACGGGGGGGGGGGGAAACACCCTTCCCCATCTTGGTTCTGCCTTCCGCCTCCACTAACCAAGCCTGCCTATTTGTTCGTTATCCGAGTCTCCCCTGCACGACCCTCGCCCCTCGTGGGACTTCGCACGACGGGACTCTCCTCCCGGCCCTGCTCCGCCCGCCGCCGTGGCACTCACCCGCCCAGCAGCAGCCCCGCGCCCAGCAGCAGCAGGTAATTGCTCTGGTAGTACAGGAGGTTGTTAATCACGCGATTGTGCCAGCGCTGCAGGTCCCGCAAATCGGGGGCAGCCAAGCGAGCGGAGCCCAGAAGGAAGTCATCCAGCACCCGAATTGGGGGCAACCGCACCTCGGACATCTTCGCTCGCTTGGGGCGGGAGGAACTACCATCCCCACAATGCAATGCATTGCACAATGCCTTGCCAGCAGGAAGACATGGAAACAGGAATGCCGCGCAGGAGGCGGAGCAGGGCGTCGCCTTTAGAGGCCGCTGGAGTTGCTTTCTTTTCCTTGGCTTCAGTAACCTTTTAATTACCTCATATAGCAATAAGATAGATACGGCTCCTCCAAGGAAACATTGGGGACTTTTACAAAGACCTGCAGGCAACTACAGAAACTCCTTTATTGATACAATAAGCCACCTGAAAACTCCGGCGTGGTTTTTGAAAAGAATTGGGATGGGCCAAATAAATGAAAGAAAATGAGATCCTTTTTGTTGCTTCTTCTGTTATATTATCTTAAAGATTAAATGGACCGATGGATCCCAATACCTTGCCAGATGCAAAATCCTTTATTACAGCATCTCCCAGAGATGGCCATCTGGCTTCTATTTCAATGCCTTCAGTAAAACAAAAGTCCACCACAATTTCACTATTGGGTACCACTAAGATTTTTCTAATTTTAAACCAAAGCCCAGGGGTGAAATCCAGCAGGTTCTGACAGGTTCTGGAGAACCGGTAGTGAAAATTTTGAATAGTTCGGAGAACCGGTAACGGAAATTTTGAGTAGTTTGGAGAACTGGCAAATACCTCTGGCTGGCCCTAGAGTGAGGTGGGAATGGAGATTTTACAATATCCTTCCCCTGGAGTGGGGAGGGAATGGAGATTTTGCAGTATCCTTCCCCTGGAGTGGGGAGGGAATGGAGATTTTGCACTTTCCTTCCCCTGGAGTGGGGTGGGAATGGAGATTTTGCAGTATCCTTCCCGCCACGCCCACCAAACCACATCTACCAAGCCACACCCACAGAACCGGTAGTAAAAAAAAATGGATTTCACCACTGCCAAAGCCTACTTCTTTGATATGTGAACATGTTGTTCTTTTGTCCTGTTTTTGGAATAAGTCTAAAAATCTTGCCTTTTCTATATGGCAGCTCTTCAGAAAAATGGAGACAAGCATTGCATCTCTCCATTGCTTTCTCTTCTCCAGCTAAGTGCCTCCAATGTGTTTTTCCTCACAGGCCCTTTATCATCTCGATTGCTCTCCTCTGAAAATGCTTCAGTTTGTCAACCTTCTTTCTAAAATGCAATGTCTGGCACTAGACATAACATTCTAGTGTGTGCTAAGTAATGCACAATAGAAAAGAGGATAGCTTGTTTTTCTTGATCCTGGTAAGTGTTCTTTGGTTGATGAAGCTTAGGGCTGGCTTTACTTTTTTATTTTCAGCTGCACCACATCTATCTCTGGCTCAACTCATGATCCACAAAGATTCCCCAAATCCTTTTTTTTTTTTTTTTTGCCTGTGCTGCTACCCAGTATGGTTCTCCATCTTCTACCTCTGATTTTTGAAATTCACTTTACTGATTCCCACCCAATGTTTTAGCTTTTGGAGATTCTCCTGAATCTTGATACCGTCCGGTAAAGTGTTAGTTCTTGTGTGAACCTCAAACCTTGGAGAAGGGGACAGTCATGGGAAAGACACAACAAATAAATGGCAATGCTGGGATTGGAAGGTTGTGTTTTTGCCTTTCATCATTGCAGCCCCATCCATATCTGATCTTTCTCTTTCCAGAAGCAACATTCAATTTGTAAGATGCTCACATTTTGCTTACTGTACGTTGGAGTCTGATCATGTCAGCAATCACTCTCAGCTCCCATTTTTGCTCATAGAAGTTCTGGGGGGGGGTGTGTGTCTTAACGATTCTCCTACATGTATGACATCAAACCATAGGGCAGTTTTAATGTAGTATGATGTGCAAATGCATCCATAGTTGAATATCCCTCAAGTGCTACCGTAAGAAAATAGTAAGATTTCACATCAGAATTTCAGTTCTTCAAAATGTCCTTCATCCTTTATTGATCACAGAATGTCAATTAAATAACATACACATCTGTTCTTGATTCTTAATGTTAACTATGCCTTTTTTCCCCTCCCCAAATGCCCATCATTGTTGGGCACATCCAGATACGTACCTCCTAAGGTTCCAGGGTATAGGAAGTACAGTGATCTGACAGGTTCTTGCTCCCCAAATTCAGCTGTCTGTATTTCTCAGTTCCAAATGAATACAGCAGCTGAGCTAAAGCAGCAGTAAGAACAGACTTCTGGAAAGGTGGCATCAAGAAAGAAAAAATGCAGCTGTTCTCCAGAATTCACTCCATTTTAGAGCAAGATGCTTTCAGCATTTCCCATCTCAGCAGTCTGAAAACCTTTGCATTATATCTAATGATGGTCTTCTGCCAGCAGAATTCCCATTCCCTGCAGCTTCCCCCCACACTTCCAAATTTGTTATGGAATATTAAAGAACCTTCTGGAACACATGGGGGCCAAAGGTGGAGAGGAAAGGAAACTCCCATTGCCGCTTCTGTAACACTGGATTTCAATGCTTCAGCCTCACATGCTTTTGCCTGAACAACGGGAATAAAGCTACACTCAAAAGTCATCATCGTCGCATATATCCAAGTAGACATCAAAGGCCTCACGGTTGCAATTTCCATCAGGAGTGAAGACATACTTATGGAAAGTACCATCCACACAGATAGCTGTAAGAGTAGGAAACAGAACTGAATGTGGGCGAGAGATTAAGAATAGGATTCAGGAGAACTTGATGCATGAAGAGATCACATGGCAGGGAATCTACAATGATGCCATTAATAAATGTAAGGAAACCAAAACAGGAGAGGGAGGGAGGGGGTCTTTTACCTAAATACTCAATGGCAGGATTGGCCTTGGGTCAAGGTTGTATGTGACATACTTCAAGAGGCCCATTACATCTACTGCCTCTCATCAATGCCACTCACCAATGACTGAATTGACGTTCTTGGAGGTGTTCCTCCCAAAAGCGCAGATGCAGGCAGACTCTGCTGGCACAGTGAAGCTGGCCAAGCTCCACTGAGAATCCACATACTGACCTATCATGGGCCCAACCTTCCCCACACGGGCCAATCTGCAGGAGAAAGAATGGGATTAAGGTACTACTTATGATCATCATTCATACCCATTTATAGCACCATCCTCCCTGCCCCCCCCCCCGGCTACCTACGCTGAGCGGCGGTTTAATCGGGTGTCTTTCAAGGCAAAGATATGAACAGTCCCTTTGTCACTGGACGCGCAGAGAAATGAAGAGTCGTGGCTGAAGTTAATGCTGTAGGGAAGAAAAAAAAGTTTTTCATCTCACAATTCAAGGTTTCTTCCTATGCTAGTGGGTCTATAATAGCAAATGCCTTGTTTTTGGTAATCTGTATATTATTCCTGAAGAGGAGCCTGGTAAAATAGCCCTTGACTGAGCCACCTCCTTTCCAGAAATATTGGGAATGCAATACCCATCATGCCTAGCCTTCCTGGCTAGGGAGTAGGAGCTATGGACATCATTATGGAGATGCCCCATCACAATTGATTAAAACCTTGGTGATTTAAATAGTAGGGAAAAAAACATTCACAAAGCAACTATGTAACAGTGCAATAAGAACAAAACAACAAAACAAAATATTGTCCCAAACAGGACAAAATGGTCTTGTCAAGAACTCTGTCTTCAACATCTTCCAGAATGTCCTCAACCCAATTCTGGTTGAGCAAGGTTGATCTGTATTAGGAGTTTAGCAGTTTCTAAAACTGTTAGATTATTACACATCCACACCATGGGGGCCTCTGAAAGCACAACCAAACCTTGGATATGATCATCTCACTTAAACCCAGAACCCCTAAGGAAGGGTCTATTGGAATGGGCCAAGAGGTTGCCAATTTTACTAGTATCTGAGATTAAACCTCTGAGAAACAATTAACAAGGAATAGGAGTGGCACCTGTTCATAGGGTTCTTAAACTTGGACCAAGCAGCTTGGATGTTGCCATGCTTAGACAATGTTTCACTTACTTAGCTTGCTTCACTTGTTACATAATAGCAGGGCAGGTTCCTTACTTGCCTGCAAACTACTGGAGATGTACTGCTTTTTAGCTAGCAGAGCAAACCAGTCTCTCTAACAAAGGACTTGTGACCTGCAGTATTTGCACTTCCAGTAATAGTGCATTGATTGATGGATCGATTGATTTGATCTGCATGGGCCTTCCGCTTGACAAGTCACTCTCTGTCGTAAACAAGCTTACAACAATGATAAAAACAGTGCACTTCCTTGGTGCAGCACAAATATCTGCAACAATTACCCTCTAAAAATAGGCTCACCTATCTTCCTGGCCAGTACTTGGGCAAAAGACAAATTTTGAAACTTAAGAAGCAGGAAAGTTTGTAACTTGAGCTGGAAGCCTTTTGTTTATTTTTCCACCCACAGAATAAAACCATCCAGAATAGCGATCTCTATAATAATATGGCTTGATCTGATCTTACCTTCTCAATTCAAAACTACCCTCAAAAGTTACTAATATTCATCCTAATTCCTTGGTGCCATTATCTGCCTCTGTTGCAACCCCCCCGTGAGGTATTTGCCTCAGTTAGAAGTCTCACCGTAGTACTCCATGGTACAGGGCCTGGCTTTTCCCAAGAAGTATCATTAACAAGACTTATCAGTTTCTCGCCCCAAAACCTGTAAATAATTCAGCAATGCAGCTCATGCCTTGGTAAAGTACAGGGGTTTAAGGCACCCTGTTATTAAGCTTATTAAGACCAGCTGCCTGCAATTACTGCAGGGTTCGAATCTCGCCAAGGCTCAAGGTTGACTCAGCCTTCCATCCTTTCTAAGGTAGGTGAAATGAGGACCCAGTTTGTGGGGGCAATAAGGTGACTTTGTATAAATATACAAAAGTATGAAGGCTATTGCTTAACGCATTGTAAGCTGCCCTGAGTCTCCGGAGAAGGGCGGCATATAAATCAAATTAAAAAAAAAAAATTCCCGTTTATCCTTTCATTTGTCTCCAGCAGTTGCGATTAACAGAATATTATTTATTTCTCCACAGCAGGGCCTGCACTAATTTCTGCCAGTGTTGTTATTAAGTAGTAAATTTACAGCCTCTGCCAC